TGAAATTGTCTTACATAAAAGTCACTCAAGGTCCCGTTAACAGTGGCTCGCCCTTGAACCCAGTAGGATCCTCGTGTTTGATTGGTTGTCCAGATTAGAAAATCTCCATAGACAGGGCTGCTAGCAAACACATCCAGCTGGCCAATGTTAGCTCCAATCATGAAGTACCAAAAGTATACACAGTGTGGCTGTGATTGGACGACCGATACTGCAGGACTTATCAGGCTGAAGTTGTCTCCTTTATTCAAGAGATCTGAAGTATCCAGAAGTACGTAGTAACCTGTAATGGAAAAAAAAAAGAAGGAAAAGTTCATTATAGTTTTTAAAGATGGTATTTTTACACAATTTTCTGATCATAAGAGAAAATAATATTGCCTATATAAAACAGCAGGGAACAGGTGCCTTCATTATTAATAGGAGGTAGAACCAGCTATCTGGGATTGTCCTGTTTCTTTGGCACTTCAGGTACTGAGATGTCAAGCCTTCAGGCAGAGACCTTGGTGTTGGGGTGGGGGAAGGAAAGGGGGGGAGGGGGGGGGGGGTGGTGAATGGGGTAAATCAGGCCCATTTTTCTTAGCTGTTTCAACAAAAGATCCATTTGTACGTCTTAGCTGCTAGAGCCGGCTATGACAGCAGTAGCGTAGCTACCAGCAGGGCCTCCCAAGCCAGAAAGGTTGAAGGGTAGAGAATAGGCAAAGAGAGACACCCTGGTCCTCCAGGTTGGGGGTTAAAACGCGGGCTGACGCCTCCACCTTCATAAAACATCATCTGGTCACGAAACAGATAGCCAAAAAGAGAGATGAATGGAGGCGGGCGATACCTGCAACAATGAACCTTAAGGGCTCGGAATGCTGAGGAAGAAGAAGAAGAAACTGTTACAGCAATTTACATTCATCCTTCACCATTATTTAGCATGTACTTTGCAAAATGTCTCATCATAACCTACCAACAACAAAAAAAGACATCCAGTGCCTTGCTAATTCTCTTATTTATTTGCACGTCCATAGCCAATTTGATAAATCTTCCTAAGCAAACAATGGCTTCCATACTTTCTAAACCACTGTGACATTTAAGATGACAAAAGTATTTTTGTTTTGAGGCATAATGCATAAGAACACAGCCCAGAAGTAGACAAACAGCCAGGACTTTCTGCCAGAATTTACAGCTGGTGAATATTAAAAAAGAATAAATGCAGGTAACCAAACTTGCTTTCCCTGATAACTACTCACCATAGCCATTTCCTGTAGTGTGGTCTGCAGGTGGACCCTGTCCATCATCTCGAGTGGTTAAGTTTGCCCATCTGTTCCAGAGGTAGTAATTTGTCAATGGCTGAGTGTAGCCGCAGAAGTCAATCTCAAAATCACAAACCACTGAAGGAATATATTACACAGAACACTTAGAGCACATTATCATTAACTATTTCAGTCTAAAGTACTTGCTAATTTAATATTTTCTATCACACAGTCTCCTAGTGGCTAAGAAGGCTGGGATCTCTTTCGAAAGACTTGGTTCCTGATGTGGGTTCCAGGGGCCCCATTGTGGGCAAAACAAGAATGACATAGGAGTAGACTAATTAAGGGCATCCTTCAATGTCAACATGTATGTGCCTCAGAAGCAAGAAACCAAAAGACTGCATACAAATAAGCGAGATCTGTAACATCACTGTGCATGCAACACTCAGGTTTTGGAACAAGACTAAAGTCTGGAGACAGATAAACCACCAGAACTTTCCACCTGAGTTTCCAGCTGGTGAATGTGAAGAAGAAGAAGTAGTAATCCTCTGTAAGGTGGTGGATTTTTCTGTCAGAGGTAACACAATTTTTGTCCCAACATGCACTGTTCAATGACATCTGTACTAGCCATCCAGCCATAAATCTCAAAATCTGTCTTACACTGCCCAAAAAAAGTGGTATCTAAGGAAGTTAAAAACAGATGTAATGTTGATATTTTCCCACAGGAGTAAACCTCAGGATAGGACAGAAATACATAAGAATGTGATTACTTGTAGAAACACAAGATTTTCAAGCAGGGCTCAGACCAGCACCTGAAACCCAGAACAAGGGTTATGAGGTTTTGCCAAGGTCTAACCATTGTGTGTATTCTGTATGTGAGGAAACGGGACTAAAACGTAATAAGTGTGAACGAGAGAAAACAAAAAGCTGATGTCTGATAAATGTCATCCCATTTTTCTGGACCTGTTATTTATTGGTAGACGTTAACTGGACCATATCACCTGTGAAACTGTAATAAAGTATATAAATTGGATATCGTCTACTGGTTACCAACTGTGTGCATTCAGAATGTCATCCATGTCTTTCATATGAACACACCCCTAGCAACCAGTCAGCACACTGAGGAGACAATATCCCACGTATAAAAAAAAAATCATACAGTATGTGCCTAAAGAGTAACAGTTTTGAGTCTTACAAAGATAAAATAACACACTTATTCAGGCTGAATGAGTAGTAATTTTTCAAAAAGAGTGGATTAATGTTATAGAAGAATTAGAGAGACTAAACAAAAAATGTAAAGAATGTTGATTGTTTAATTAACTCTTTCAGTCCCAAGGAGCACATAATACGTTCATAGGTTTCTACCCAGAAGCCCATTGAATGCAAGATGTCCCCATTTTACGTCCTTCTTGGGGACCACTTGGGCCTCTGATGCTAAACCCCCTGGAACACAAAGAGTGAATGATGATGATTTTTTAATAAATCCATGGTGAGTGTTTTGGTACTGAAAAAGGTTAACAAATATTTGCCTTAACAAAGGTCTTGGGATTGAATCTGTATTAGGCTGGATTTTAAGTATTAGAATTTTGCTCCCATGTTGACCAAACCTAAACTGGATACAGAAAAATGTCCTGCAAGGCAATTACAACCAGTGTCATGCTAATTAACTACCTCACATATTAAATGCTGATAAATTTAAAAAAAATAAGGGTTTAGCAAATGCCACTGCCACACAAAACAATTATTCCATAAACACTTTGCACATCCTTGAGAATCTTTGGCAGTTGTGAATATGAAATAGTAAATTATGATCATATCTTCCCTGGCAAAAGGTTTAAAAAAAAAAAAAGGAACAAACTGTCCCAAATGATCATTTTTTTAACTTCAACACAAAAGATATCTCTTTATTTTACTGAACTGTTCTTAACAAGTATGAGGAATTTGCTCGACCTTTTCACAGTTAATTTCTTGTCCTTCCCTGTGAATTAGATTTTTTAACTTTTCATACACATTGTTTTAACCCTTTCACTCCACACATCCTATGGGGGAAAAAAATCATTTAAAAAAAAAAAAAAACTATTATACACAGGCCACTAAAATAAAAATTCAAATAATTAATTTCAGTTTAAAAACAAAATGAAAATATGAAGGAAAGCAATAAAAAAAAACATGAATAGAGCGAAGAATTACATGAACTGCAGTCTCTTGGGCCTTAAAATATGTACTGGGTTATTCAAACCATAACAATTTGACCTCAACAGATGTCTAACATTCTAATACTAAAGTGAGGGCAAATTATGATTTCACAATAGTGATGTGAGACCCTTCATCTCAGGGACAAGTCATTGCAGCTGTACTGTTTAAGTGGCCCTTATGGGTATTGAGAATGGACAGATGTACTGTGTTTGCTATTTATCATGACAAAAGAGTTAAATGCCATTAATGTAAACTGAATAACTTTGAGTAGAAAGATAAAACTAAAACCCACCTTGCTGTGAGCATTTGTCTGAAGACAGGAATATATCATCTAGAGCTATATCTCCAAGGCCAACTTTCCCAACGATAGCTTCAAATTCAATCTGTGAAGAAGAAACAGACATGAGATACGTGTGTTTTTTAAATTTCACCTTTGAATTCAGTCTGTGAAGGAGAAACACATAAACAATGTATGATTCTCAAAATGACACCTTAAAAGTCGGTCTGGAAAGGAGAAACATTACAGAGATACAAGTGTTTCCTAAATGACATCTTCAAATTTAAACTGTAAAGAAGTAACATAACAGAAATACAAGTGTTTAATAAATTTCACCTTCAAATTCAATCTGTGACGAAGAAACATACAAGAGGTAGATGTATTTTTAAATCAAATTAAAATAATTCAGTTCAGCTCTAATAAATTTTTTTCTCTGCCTCTCTAGTTTTTCCCTATATGAAATGGTTATCTTTTATTTCCACTTGTTGTGTGTGGGTTGAACATCATCATTATCCTGTTTAGCCGTTAGGCACCACATAGGGCTGGCAGTCTGGTCCTCCATTATGTTTCCTATTATGCAAGTTTCTGTAGCACAAATTTTTTTTTAAACAGCTGGCCCCATGATGAAACTTCCTCCTTTCTCATGCTGGCTTGGGACTGGCAAAGATGTTTGTTCTGTTAACAGATCCCACAAATTTCATTTCTCTTTTAATTATGTATTTGATGAGTGATCTTATAACACTGCCTGCATGCCTCAATACCCGAGCATTTATTTTCTTCTCTTTTCACAGTATTCCAAAATTTGTATTTAAAAAATCACACCTTCACCATCTTCAGTTTCTTCACTATTTCATTTCACATTACCCAACATTCACTTTTCATTAAATTAATTTGTGTATTAGTCATATTTCTGTTTCTCAAGACATTCACTTTTGCTAAAATAAATAATGAATATGGCTATTGTTTCTTTTAACTGTGTTACACCTTCCAATAGATGTTACTATCAGGGCTTTTTTCATGACTGTATGCAACAGTACGTAGTACAGACATTTTTCATTTAAAAACAAACATGTTTTAAAAGTTAATCCACACTGTCCTGTTTTGTAATTTGTCAGTCCTTATTTCTTAGCATATGCATAATATAGCTCGATTTTTTTGTTCCTCATAACTGTTCATAGCATCAGCAGTTATCTAGACATTTCCTTAATTTTACCTTCCTGGAAATCAATCCTATCTTATGACGTATAATAATCATTTGCTTCTTGTTTAAATAATCTGTCTTCAAGATTACTCACCTGCCAAGTTATGTTAGAGCTAACGGGTGCTTCTGCCAGATGCCAAGAATTTCCTTGGGATAATGATCGTGTCCAAATGCGTTTGGAGTTGTACACTCCTGGGCCAGTGACAATGTACACATTTAGAGTATTTATGCTAAGCCCGTACATGTGATACCAGAACCTGAGGCAGTTGTCACCAACTGTCAAGATATTACAAGAAAATAGAACATTCAGGAGATGGTATACAAAAAAATATATAAGTAAACATAGATAATAGGTGGTAGATATTTGTATATGGTATTGTTTTAAAACAATCTTACTTTTTGGACCCATCCAGGATGCAAACAGTGAGAAATGGATAGAGAAGCAATAATGAAATTCAAAACCTGTTTAAATCACTGCTGATGACTGGCACTTACTTACTTAGTCACTCCTCTTCTAGCTTGGGGTATAGAGGTTTGTCAGAGAGATCGCCAGACATCTCTATCAGCAGTTTTCTTTCTGGCTTTGTTCCATTCCAGTCCTCTGTCAGTTAGGGACTGTCAGATGTTGTCTTCCCAGCGCACCCTGGGTCGTCTTTGAGGTCTGGTTCCCTGATTCTTAGCCTTCCATGCCTGCCATGGTGGTCGATTTTCTCCCATTCTGCATACATGTCCAAACCATCGTAACTGTGACTGATTCACTCGGGTTTGTAAGGACTGGGTATCAAGATCTTGACATATTGTCTGATTGCAGACTTTGTCCCTTCTTGTCACTTGGACCAGCTTTCTCAGATATCTCATTTCCGAGGCCTGCAGCTGGCTTCTGTGAGCTGTTGTCATTGCCCATGACTCACACCCATAGGTCAGGACTGGTACATGGGTAAAGAGCCATTTTCATCCTCTTGCAAATTTCTCTTTTGCTAAGAAACCCTCGGTTATGGCCTGGAAGAGTCTCTCAGCAGCTGCTTTTCGTGTAGCCAGCTCAGTCTTAATGCCTCCATTTGGGTCTAATACAACTCCAAGGTATTTGAACTGGTTAACCTGCTCCAATGCATACTGTCCCATCATGATCTGGTGTTTCTTCTCCTCTCTTAAGATCACCATGGTTTTAGTTTTAGAAATACTAAATACTAGTTTTAGAAGGCATCTCATAACTTCCCTACAACATAGGACAGCTAGTGGGAACTGCTAGGAAATCTCACCAACAACTAGATGGGATGACTTTCATAAGCAGCGCCACAATTTTACATATATATTGTGCTGAAAGTCGGCTCTGTGGCTAAGTTGATGCGATGCTTCATAATGCCGGAATGCCGGGTTTGATCCAAGCTGCGGGCCATGCGCCCTGTGTTGGTTTCAACAGTGGTTTCTTGATCAAGAAAGCCGATCGTCCAGAAAGCAATGGCAAACTACTGGATGTAAATTTGCGTTGAAAAACCAGCCAGGGGGTGTTGAGGTTGGATCTGCAATGTCCTGTAAAGGATACGCAACTAACCTTGTGCTGAAAAGTGGAAAATCATGTTTCAGTTCTAAATTGTCATATGCTTTATTGATATGCGCATCCACTTACACATTTGAAGATGAAACCGTATATCTGGTAATCACATTTGATTCCCTGAACATGTACAAGAAACAGTAGTCTACACTGTGAACTAGTATACAACATTTTAAAGTCTCTCAAAGTCCAATCCCACATCCACGTCGTAAGAGGTGGTAAACAGGACAAACTAGGGGATTGCTAAGACTGGACAAAGTATGGTGTGGTGTTGTGCCAGGAGGCTGCTACAGTAGCTATGAAGGCCTTCCTAGGTCATCCCAAAATGTCCTAGCCAGCAGAGCTGCAGTGATATTACCACATGCCTATCAAGCCAGCAATGGATATATTATCCCTACAGAGAATCATCATCATCGTCATCATATAGCAGGTCCTTTGTAGAAAGTTGCTCTCATCATGGTCTGCCTGAAAGAAACTCGTTCTCTTGCCAACTCTCCTGCCTCATGTAATTTCATACTCAAGGGGTCACTTATATCATGTGCCCATCTTCGTGTCGGTCGGCCAATGCCCCTCCTTCCTGGTACCATGCCTACTGCTGTTATTTTTCCAAATCCGCCATGGCATTTGGCATGACCAAAATATTTCAGCTTCCAAGACAAAATGCTGCTTTTTTAAAAACCTTATAAATCAATATGGAGTGGTAATATCCCTTGCTACCGATAAACCATGGATTGCAAACTGCACTTCCCAATGGCACTTAACGGCAAAAGTGGAAATTATGGATAGATGATGATGATGATGATGATGATGGTACTGATGAGCCTCTGAGGCTGGGCTAACTACATGACCTAGGGATGAAACCTGGTCAAGAACATCAACATTGTAATACATTTTTGTATGGGAACAGTGGATGCGAGTTCTATAGGATGGCAGGCTGCATCAAAGGACTGAGCACATATAGAAATACCTGATGTCCAGTGACAACAACTATGATAACACAGCATAACAGACAACTTGATGCATTCAACAGAAGAAATATTTTCAACACATACCTGTTGGAGCCATGACAGCAGATACAAGAACAGCCTTGTCACCAGGTCTTCGTGGCAATGCAGACTCAATATAAATGTAGTTTCCTGACCCAGTTGTGTGGTCACTGGCAGGTCCTGTGTTAGTGGAGGAAATTGGACCTGAACCCAAAGACCAATCAAAATTGTCTGTACGTGATTCATAGTAGCCACAGAAGTCTCCTCCTGAGAAGTCGCAGTCCAAATCTATGAAAACATATACAAATGGACATAATAACTCCTACAATATCAGAATATTTCACAGGAAAAGGTGAAGTGAAAAAAATAACCATAATGAAAATCATGCGTACATTACTTTCAAAATGGCAATATACACATGGCTGTTGATTATTGGGAAAGCCAGGTTTCTTCAGTAAGTTTTAACTAAATGTTAAAATTAAGCGAACACATTATGTTATGGAGAGAAATCACTAGGTAAAGTCATTCAGACATCAGATGTCAATCGGGACTAAAAAAGTTACATTTTTCAGTGAGAAATGTTTGTTGATGTATGATATTGAAATTGACGTTCAAAATATTTATGATAAACCAAAGGAAAGCTAATCACTGGGATTTTTCCTCATGCTGGTATCGATAGCTATAAAACAAAGAATATGGTCATATTGTGGGCCCATTCTGAGAACTAGAAAGAGAATCAGAAAACAGGCACTGAAATGGGAACAAATGGATTTAGAAAATGAGCATATCCAAGAGAAACTAAGACACATATTGGAGAGAGGTCAAATGTGCTGGCCTAGATTACATAAAGTGTTCTGAAAGTCTCACCTTCATGAGGATTTGAACATGTTACTGCTGGGTCAGCAAGCAAGCATGCTAGTCCCTACAGTGTCACAGTCTCTCTATCAGTTATAGTGAAATTATGCAGAATGTTTTATCTGTTAACGATGGCTACTGTTTCATGTATAGTTATAATAATCACACAATGAGAAAGCTGACAGACTGGCTGGTTCTGCTCAAGTTGCAGATGGCCAGCCTATGGATGATGTGAACATTGTTAATGCCCTTATAGAGAGAGAATGATTGGAGGATTATGGAAGCAGCATGAATTTATAAAAATCATAGTACCCACCATCTAGAGTGAACTGATAAGTGTTGTTCAGCTGACAGTCTATGAACTGAGTACTCACCATCTAGAGTGAACTAAGTGTTGTTCAGTTGACAGTCTATGAACTGAGTACTCACCATCTAGAGTGAACTGATAAGTGTTGTTCAGTTGACAGTCTATGAAATGAGTACTCACCATCTAGAGTGAACTGATAAGTGTTGTTCTGTTGACAGTCTATGAACTGAGTACTCACCATCTAGATTGAACTGATAAGTGTTGTTCTGTTGACAGTCTATGAACCGAGTACTCACCATCTAGAGTGAAATGATAAGTGTTGTTCAGTTGACAGTCTATGAACTGAGTACTCACCATCTAGAGTGAACTGATAAGTGTTGTTCTGTTGACAGTCTATGAACTGAGTACTCACCATCTAGAGTGAACTAAGTGTTGTTCAGTTGAGAGTCTATGAACTGAGTACTCACCATCTAGAGTGAACTGATAAGTGTTGTTCAGTTGAAAGTCTATGAACTGAGTACTCACCATCTAGAGTGAACTGATAAGTGTTGTTCAGTTGACAGTCTATGAACTGTATGTCATCCAGTGCAACACCAGCATTGGTGGGATCATCTTGTCTGCTACTAATCACAATCTGCAATCAACATTTATCACATTCTTCAATTAGTAGCTCTAGTGCTTTACACAACTGCACAGTAAACCTTATCTGGCAACTGGAGAAGGAGAAATGGGGATTGGGTTTTACAAAGTTTTACATTTTGTTTTTAAATAGTAAAGACAAGTGGAAGTGCTGTAAATCAGTTTTAAACCTCAATTACTTACTTCTAGTCGCTCCTCTTCTACCTTGGGGTGTAGATGTTTGCCAGAGAGATCGCCAGACGTCTCTATCAGCAGTTTCCTTTCTAGCTTTGTTCCATTCCAGTCCTCTGTCAATTAGGGACTGTCGGATGTTGTCTTCATAGCGAACCCTGGGTCGTCCTGGAGGTCTGGTTCCCTGGTTCTTAGCCTTCCATACTTGCCATGGTGGCCGATTTTTTCCCATTCTGTCCAAACCATCGTAACAGTGACTGATCCATTCGGGTTTGTAAGGATTGGGTATCAAGATATTGACGCATTGTCTGATTGCATTAAACCTCCATACTGGCTACATATCCTAGATGTACAAAAGTACATGTGGCGTTGTGCAAAACAGAAACTGCCAGGAAACTATTACATTGTATATACAGGAGTGTCATGGATACAATAGAATCCCCTTGCATAATCAAATGTATGCACCTGCACCAAACTTGACAAAATCTTACTGGTTCAAGAAATTAAGAATCTGCCTCATGGCTTTCATTTTTCAAATGATCAGATATTAGTTACTGAGCTGTAGTACCAGCTCATAGCTTAGACAGGAAAGGTCTACAGCCTGGGCATTGACAAGGGAAACAACTAAGTCAAACTAAAAGCAACTGAGTTTTTAGCTGTTTTTTTACTTTCACTGGAATAATTCATTTGTTGCCTCTTTCTTTCTTTCCAGATGACGATTTTCTACTGTTATGGAGAGGCTTTATCCCTTTAACTCAGTTCCCATCCTGACCCCCTCCCTACCTCTTTTTTCATGCAACATGGTCCAAAACATATTGTTCCCATAATCAACCTCAATACCTGTACTATTCATGTCCCTTGCGCATTAAAAAAAAAGTTAATTGTAGCAGAGGCCCACCCTGACATCCTATACTCACCTGTAATTTTACTTTTAAATGTAATATCCTGAATGGGTCAAGCAGGAAGCAAATGGTGTCATTTTGGCACAGTATTTAAAGATGTAAAAAAAAAAAAAAAAAAAGTAAAAATATCACAGTATGTGTATAATTAATACACATAAGCAAATGTTAAAAAAATTAATATGTAATTCCATATGGAGGATACTCTTAGTGACAATACCCTCCTCCAAGATTACACTTGTCATATAAATGTTTGAAAACTGAACTCTGGAGAAGCTGCTGTTCTTTCCAATACCTTAGTGTTAGTGATCTTGTCTTGCCAACTTATAGCAATGATCTGAATGATGCTACATGAAACAATGTGTTGCACCTGCAATCTGTTTATGTTAAACATCTGTTATGTCACCTGTTGTCCAGCAGGAAGGCTGCTAAGGTCCACAGAGTCCTGGGTCCAGTTGGTGGAACTGACATCAACTTTATTCCACAGTTGGACATATCTAGAAGTGCCTGTATCATTTGCATTCTGAAGGTTGATCACCAGCTGACCTGTTCACCATTAAAAAAAATCAATTATATAAATTATGATACTAAAACACATAAACACTTCTTCTTCTTCTTCATTTTCTTCTCTTTCACCTTGGACCTCAGCGAAGTGTCATGAGGAGATGTAACATTCAGTAATGAGCTCTGTCAAGAGCACTATTAAGACTGATGTTCATTTCTGTAAGGCTGTTCTCAATGCCATCACTCCATATTTTCCAAGGTCTTCCGCTCGCTCTATACTTGTTGTAACATTTTAGTATGGCTCGCTGTGGCAGATAGTACCAGGGCATTCTTGTTAGGTGTCCAAACCACTTCATTTGTTGTTCTTTGATGACTTGAAACACTGGCTTTATTCCTAGCATACTTACCATATAAACACACTGTACATTTATCACATCAATGTATCACCCTTTACTGCATAGCACACAGGTCTGGAATAAGTAACATGGAGTAATAATTGTGTACATTTATCAACTCAATTTATCACATTATTCTAAAAGAAATAGGATTGGGTCATTGTACAACAATATGTGCTTCTGCACAAAAATGTGAATATAAATTTTCAGTTATTACAACAGAAATATTTCTTCCCAGGATTGAGAAAAAGACACGTTTATAGACGAAAAAACATTTAAAATTTAGCACATAGATGTGACATATATTCTTGGTAGTTCAATAACTAGCATATTTGCCTGCCAACCCAAAGGTCACGGGTTGAAATTTGTAGCTTGGCATATTTTTATAAATTCATCTGTGTGCCCAGGTTGTAAATCTCTTAAGCCTACCAATTTTTTTTCAAGTTTTTGGTAATCACATATGTTTTTGACATTTTGCAGCATGTGGCTCCTGGTTTTTATAAATGTTTTTGACATTTTGCAGCAGACAAAGGTGGCTCCTGGTTTTTATAAATGTTTTTGACATTTTGCAGCAGACAAAAGTGGCTCCTGGTTTTTATAAATGTTTTTGACATTTTCAGCAACAGACAAGGGTGGCTCCTGGTAGCCACACATGCTTTTGACATTTTGCAGCAGCAGACAAAGGTGGCTCTTGGTATTTTAGACATTTAAAAAAAGACATGGATGACTTCTGGTAGCCATACATGTTGCGATGATTCTCTTTTATCTTCTACTGGCTCGCCTCATCGCACGCTCGCTGCCAACTCACAAAACCGACATCACACGTCGAGCAGAAAAAATGGACGACTGGGAAACAACACGATACTGTTCCAGTACTTTATTCTTCCACTCGCGGCTTACACAGCCGGCACATGAACTTGACAACTGTCCAGGCACACATTATAATGCAAGAATCAATTATTACCTTCAAGCAGAAATCCCAATCGATTTACACTAACATCGTAAACGAAACACAACAGCTGTCCTGACAGATACACTCAGACGACCGGCAGACATGTTACTGGCCAGCTTTCTTCGCCAAGTTGGACTGGAACAAATTCACTCAAAAACATCTGCTGAATTCACACATCATCCACCGCTGTCCATGCACACTGTTCCTGGGTCCAAAACGAGACTGCCCACAAACCTTTTCCTCGCTATTATATAGCCCTCTGATCTCTGATTCTAGAATATTCTGGATTCATTCTCACGAATTTCCCACTGTTGAAAGTTGTGTCTGGCCCGTGATAATTCACATTTCACACAAATCCTGTGAACAATCATGTTTCACATAAAACCTGACTTTCCGATGTCTCTCATGAAACTCAAGACATAAATCTCGTGTTATCTCAACCAGTCAAAACATTCGTCTTACATCTATTACTGACGTCATCTATCGAGCATAAATTAATGAGGAGAAAATGACTCACTACATTCTCCCCCACCCCAAAAAAATGTTTTACATTTTCAATTAATCAGGTGTGAACATTTCACTGAACATTGTGATTCTAGACCTTTGTAGTGAATCATTTTCGACAAGTTCATTTCCAACCAAGTTCCCTTTACCTCATTTAGGTTAACAATTCAAACACTCTAAAATGCCATCTGTTGGGTCCTTGCACGACTGTGAATATCTTAATGGGATCCTCACCCCAGGCACTCCCCTTTTAGTGCGGAAGACCAATAATCTGGCTCCATAGGTATCCCCACCCAGTTCTAAAGTCGGTATACCACCGAACCCCTCTCCTGGCACCCCCCGATCGGTGCGGAAGTCCAAAATCTTGGCTC